ACTAAAGTAAACTAATGGAACCCAATGATAATAAAATGAAAATTATACAGAGAAACCTACGTAAAATTTGTGTAAAACATTACTTACAAATAATATTACAGATTTCTTGTACTTCAGTAAATGAAAAATCAAAAAAATAAATATTAGTTGACTTAAAATCATGTTGATGGTTTAGAGAGTCAATGTTTTTTTTTTATTAAAAAAATATAAGAAGCATCGCAATTTTCCACGTCATATCCCCTACAATAAAAACACGACAAAGTATTCTCTGCGACAATAATGACTAAAACCATAAGCATTAATTAACATGTTTCCATCTGCATTAACCACAAATCGTCGTTATCCCGACGGAATATATAACCACTAAACAATATATTTTATTCATAGAATTATGTACCATAAAGATTTAAGATTAAGTATTTCATCTTTATGTTATAGTACATTAATTTAACCTCCTTATTATAATTGTTTTCTAAGGAGTTTAAGCAGCATAAACTTTGTCGACAGCAATTAAAACTACGTTCATTCTACACGTGTTATCAAGTACATTATTGTAAGTTTAACAAATTTCCAAGTAAACTTTTTTGAACACATGTTAGTTAAGTTTTGTTTTATTAAAATCTTAGCTAAATCAAAACTAGAGAACAAATTTCTTGTTTATCTACTATGCCAAAGAGTTTTTAAACCATTTGGTTGATACTCTGTAAAAAAAAGTCTCGTCAATAAATCATCCGTGAGCGACTAATTAAGAAAACTTCAACCTATCACCACCCAAGTTGTCAAATAGAGCCTTTCATTGTCAGCTTTTACAATATAGCCCTCTAGTAACGTTTATCATTTTTCATAATTTAAATAAAAAAACAAAACAATTTTACGCGTGGTCGTGATGGAAGTTCTCAATTTATAATATTCAGATTGATGTTAATATAATTTTATTTGTCATTATTAAACAGTTAATTAAACACGGTTGTTAATGACTTAGTAAATTAATTAAGTTTAAGTAGTTCGTGGAAAATAAGTTGAATTATTGATCGCAATAAAATAAGAAGAAATTAAGAAAATAATTAATAAACCAAAAGCGAGTAAAAAAAAAAGAAAAAACATAAAATTAGTCAAATAGAAGCACAAGAATTACTGACAACTTTTACTAGACTATAATAAATAATCAAAAATAGATTATATTGTGAAAAAATGTTATTATAATACTTTTGATGAAAGTCGTTACGAAAAATTCCTTTAATTTGAGTATTAGGTTTATATATTTATTTTTCATATACTATTTTGTTCAAGTTTTATTTAAATAATATTTTTTATTCTATATTAGCAGAATTAAAATTAACTCTTTCAGCTTGATAACTATTTTTATATATTTTTATTTTGAAGAAAAATTAGATATTGTTAGTAATTTATTTATTATTAAATACAGAACTCTCAATTATTTTATAAAAAAAATTTTCACAGAAAACATTATTTAACGTTTAAATAGAAGAACTAAAAGTTGGCTGCAGCTCTAAAAATTAAAGTAATATGATAACAACATAATTATCTGATTAATGTACATAACATTTATTAATTTTTTTTAAATAAAAATTATTTATATTAAAATTAGTTAAGGTTAACTCTAAAATCGTCAGTGTAGTATCTGAGGAACATAGAAAACGAAAAAAATATATTTTTTCAAATAGTTTTATTCAATTATTTTTATTGAATTATATTTTTATACCATGTTACTTTAGAGGTACATTAACTAAAGCTACTAACTCTAAAATTTCTTTCGTTTTAACAATCAATTCTACGAAAAAAACTAAATAATTTAGTTAATAATAAAACAGTTTTAGTTACTACGTTCTTCATAACCAACATAAACGAAATGTATATTATTATAACAATAATTATGAACAGGGTTGTGTAAAAAACACGTTAAAATAATTATTTAAAATAAAAGTAAACAATTTAAAAAGCGCCTTAAGACCAATATAAACTTTGAAATTTTTTTGTGTTTTAAACACATTTCAAACGTAATAACCTTGATATGGACTAATAAAAAAACATTTTATAAATTTAAATTTATTTAATTTTTCTTTACTCGTTATGCTAAATTGTATACAATTTAGCATATGATAAATGTATGTAATAATCATAAAGTAGCGCAACTTATTTCGAAAACTTTAAAACATCGTTTTTATACTTAACGTAAAGAATTCACTGAATTTATTTATTTCTTCAACGACGATACTAGAATGCTCAATACACCTGATATTTTCATAGTTATACTATTATTAGACATATATGTGATAAAATATGTTATGTATTATTTATAATTTTAAAGGCTCATTAATAAATGTTAATTAATAAAAGTTAAAAATAATTAATTGATTAATGTACTTATATTAAATCGTTTAAGGTACCAGTGCTTAGAACTCTGAGAAAATAACCAATGAGTTCGGTAGTTTTTAAACAAAACATTTTCATCCTATCTAATTTTTTTTGTTTACTAACTAGTTTTGTGCAAAAAAGTTTATTTAACTTACAATAATGTACTTGATAAAACGTGAGAATAAGTAAGAGTTTTAATTGCTGTTGACGAAATTTATGTTATGTTTATGTATATTTCAATAGGGTAGAGTAAAGCATAAATTTTAATTTTTCATGAATTTATTTAATCAAATATTTTTTTTTGTTTTATGAGTCTAACCTGTAATTTAATTATTTCTGCATAATTTTATATTTTTTCCTATCTCGTCAATAAAATTCATTTTAACATGTCACCCGTTGCCGATAAAATTGACATACATAAAATTGTCTATATTTGAGATTTTATATCTCAAGTAGATAAAAATTTGCTTAAAAATATTTTCATTTATTTGTCATAACAGTTTGAGCGAGAGTCTCGTGATACATTAATTAGTAAATAAAATTGTTTAACAAATGTATTGAGTAAACAATTAAATATAATACAGCATGTCGATACTATTTAGCCTCTTCAATAGATTTTTTTTTCATTTTATATCACTTTTCTTACCAGCCGATTACTAACGATAAGAGTTATAAGTTCTAAAAGTAAACTATATTTTTACAGAAATCTGCTCCAACTGTGGTCGTGTTGCTATCACGCTATTTGTATTGAATAGTACCCAATGCTAGGCTAGGTCATTATGCAAAAGTAGCCCGACACGCAACTATACAGAGGCAGTACTTCGCGGCAGCCTCGACAGACATCATAGTAATAACTATAGTACTAGTACACAAAACTCACTAATGCAGCCGTAACAATCTGTGGACAATAATTACGCCTGGGTAGGCCATAGCCATGGTGATTAATCACCAGGACAAACCACGATTTGGTCATCAACCTTTGTGTAAATGTTCAAATTTTATGTTTTGTACCAGGAATTCATAAGATTAAATAAGACTAGTTTCCATAGTTAATGTTTTAGACCTGTATTGTTATTTTGTTACCAATATCAAAATCCAGTACCAGGAACTCATAAGGACTAATCTATGCAACTATATGTTATGGTGTCTCGAGAAGGTGCCCAGCGTCGTCTCGTTAGCGACTTTTAATTGGCCATCTGTACGCTGTTGACGCTCTTTACACCAACATTATTCAATTTAATGGTGTCACTAATGATATTTGATAGTAACGACAATTCTCATAAATTCCTGTACTAAAAATTTAACTTATATTTGAAATACTAAAATACCGAATTTCGATACAACTTATAACGTTTTTAGGAATATAATTAATTTGTTTGTCAACTTAACCAAAAAATTTTTTAAAATTTATAGTAGCGTTTATTAAATCTTTTTCTTATTTTTTTTTCCTCGCCTTAATCCCAACTATTTGGAGTCGGTCACTCTTAGCGTTTTTTATATATTAAACTAAATTAGGGTTAACTCTAAAGATGCACTAGGTTTTTTAATAGTGAAGTCATACTTAAAAGTTCACAATATCATCGAGGTTTTATCTCAGACGAGTTAATATATTTTTAATATATATTGTCAACTGTAATTTTTTTTTAGTGTACTAAACAATTGGAACTTAGTACACTAAAGCAGAAAATTGAATTTTAACTTAGTGTTTCTATTTTTATTTAGGAGAAAATATAACTAAAAGTTAATTTTTTGAATTCGAATTAAGAAGTAAAATTTTAAAATGCGTAAAAAGCCTAAACTCACTAAATTAAGGTACAAATAGTGTTTTACAATAATTTTCTTTTTGTCTAAGAGTAATATAAAATAATAATAAATATATTTGGTAATGGATGAATACGAGTAATTGAAAATTGTCAACCTTTATCTAGCATAGTTAATGCTTTTTATATTTACACATGAACTCATATCAAAATTAATAAATCATAAAACAATTTTGGTTTTTTTAATATTTAACACTACGTTTAAAATTATGGAGTAAAAATTAAAATGGTAGCTATAAAGAAAAAAAACATTTCCATCTGCTCAAATTGAAACATAGCATTATTTTGTTGCCAAGTGTGAAAAAAATATAATAAGCTGAGTAGTGTTAATGTAACAAAAAAAATGATGAACGACTGTTACTCAGAGGTGATATTAAAGTCAGAACTCAGCGGGGTTCTCTTACGGCTGTACTTGAATTGGCAACTTTAAGTCAATGGGGAAAATACTGTACCGACCACGGGCAGTGTTCCAAAAAATCCTTCCACTGCACAACTATCGCATATTTGTAAATGTAACCAAAAAGGGGAAAAAAGTTATACATGTGCTACAATAACCTTTTCAACAACTTATAAAAACAGTACCTTTTTTATCACAACCAAAATTCATTAGTTAAAAAAATTATTTATTTTTCCTCACTACTACGAAAAAAGCAAGGATGAAGTGACCACAAGTACTTGTTAGATTCAATACTCAAATCTAATTAAAAAGCCACAAGAAAAAAAAGACACTTTCCATCATCACATATTTCATAAATAAGTTGTTTGTAATTTCAAAATAAATATTTTTTTCTATTATTTTCACAGTAGTAATGCTTATAGGCGAAACTACTTGTTTGTTTGATGTGTCAATCGAGATTCCTACTGGAATTTTGATGGGAGGTACTGCTATAATGCGATGTAACTATAGTCTCGAAGAAACAGAATCACTATATTCCGTCAAATGGTACAAAGAACAATTAGAATTTTATCGATATATTCCAAAAGAACTGCCACATACCAGAGTCTTCAGTTATCCGGACATCAACGTTGATGTAAGTGTACATAATTTTGAGTTGGTTATTAATAATATTTTTATGTCTAACATGTAAATACATTTTGACAGATCAGTGAATCCGGTGATCAACAAGTAGTCTTAAGAAATGTGACTTCCAATTTGGGTGGAAAGTATTGGTGTGAAGTTAGCCTAGATGCGCCACTTTTTGAAACGAGAATTGCATCAGCAGTTATGAACGTTTTACGTATGTGTCATGAATAAGATTATCGACTATCTGTACAATAATATCGAGATAATTAACTAAAATTAAAAAATACGTTTATCACTTAATTTTCACTGAATTATTTTGAATAATTTATAATAAAATGAATCTGATTGAACGGAAAATATATAATATAATTTATAACTTATTTTGAATTAAATAAATATTAGTTGAAATCATTTTCATGTTTAATTATTTTATTTTCAGGTCCAATAAAAGATAAACCCGTCTTACAAGTTGAAAAAACTCAATACTCAGTCGGTGAAAAGCTCAGAGCCAACTGTACATCGCCTTCATCGGATTACCCGTCTAATATAACTTGGTTTATCAACGATCGAAAGGTACTTGACAATATTTTAATTAGTTTGATTTCAGTGTGATAAAATGATCCAATGATGATTTTATCAATTATGGTCCATATTCATAATAATCTTTTAGTTTGTATTATTAAATTGCTTTCTTTTATCTATTTTCAACAAAACTTGATTTTAATATCGCGACTTTGCAGATTGTTTAATTAACTATTTAAGTGCGGAAATATATTTACTTGTTCATTGTCTTCTAAAGTAAAAAGCTTAAACAAAAGAATAATAATTAATTAAAATGTATTATTCTTATGTTAATGAGTTACTTTTTAACCCTTATACTTAACAGAACAGTACAAAATACGTCAGCTTTTTTAAGTATTCCATGAATAATTATTTATTTATTTTCAGAGAAATACATATATTTTTTATGAAATATATCTGAACTAGTTAAGAGTAAACCTATAAAAAGAATGTAGAGGAAGCTGGACAATTATGTCTTACCAGTAGAGTAGCCAAGAAACTATAACCCCTCAATTGCTAGTTATTACTACCAGTAGCATAAAAATTTGGCGCTAGTAACACTATGAAATAATATTAAAAAAGGTCCAAAAATACTGTCTACGCCACTATGTCTTCCTTTTCATTTAAAAAGTTACATAGAAACAATTTTTTTTATAATAAATTTAAACGTAGGTTTATATCCTTACATATAAAATTTCTTTATTAATTTCTTTTCAATTTAAAAATGAAATACAATAATTTAAAGTTTTATTAAATTTAACTTTAATAATTATTATAACTTATAACTTCTAATTATTACTTATTACTTGAACATTTACATAGTTAAATTTTATATGTATACAGGGTGGCCACCACTCACTGACAACTTAAATAACTTTTGATCCAGTTAATATTTTTAGCTGATTTTTTTTTTTAAATAATAGTTATACGTTAGGTCTATAGCTATATTTCAATAATTAATTTTTTTACATTTTATTAAAAATATTAATTATTTTTAAATTTTAAATAAAATGTAAAAAAAAAATCTAAGATAGCTATTTTGTAGAGTAGAATTTAAGAAAAATTTTAGTAAAAAAATATCTTATTAATATTCAGTAGTAAATATTCTGTAGCGTTTTAAAGTTTGTGAAAATTTGAATTTTCATGTATTATTTTACGGTATTAAACATTGAAATACGTATTGAGAAAAGGACAGAAGAAAACGCTACAGAAGATATTACTTATCACTCTCATTCAAAAGTATATTGAAAAGATAAATAGGTCATCCAAAAATCACCCTGTCAGATATTTCTTCTTCTTTTACTCCCTCGCCTTTATCCCAATTACTTGAGGCCGGTCACTCATCTCCTAAACATCCATTTAACATAATCTATCACATCATATACGCATACATCACCTGTCCTCATAGCGCATTCAATAACAACCCCCATCTTTTTTTTGTCTTCCTCTAACTCTTCTTCCTTTAACATTCATTACTATAACTGTTCTTATAGCTTCCGATTCCTCTCTCTTATAAATATACCCAAACTATTAAAATCTATTTTCTCTCGTCTTATACACGATTGTTGATACACCTATACTTCCTTCTATATATTCGCTCTTTCTCCTATCTTCTCTAGTCACTCCACTCATCCTCTAAGCATTCTCATCTCTACTACACTCATTCTCTGTTCTACTATCTTATCAACCACTCAACACTTTGAACCATACATCAAAGCTGGTCTGACTACAGTATTATAGAACTTACTTTTCAGTCTTATTGGAATTCTCTTATTGCATGACATACCAGACACTTCTCTCCTTTTGATCCAACTTAACTAAATCCTATGTCTTATATAGTCGTCAATACCACCGTTATTTTGTACAAATGATCATAAATATTATTGAAAAGGGTATACCTTAATTTACCTTCTTAGATACTTAATGTTATCCTTTATAATTTTCAAAGGTTATTTTCATTAATTATTTTTTAATTTCAGATTAAAAATGGCATAAGTGATACTGTTTTAATTTATGCATTAAACAAGACGTTTTCATCATTGGATTATGATATTTTATCAACAGGAAAACTCAAAGTGCGCTGTCAATGTGATATTTTTGACGTAATTCATTCAGATATGGAAATTGTTTTGGATGAAGACAAACCTAGACTGGCATCAATTCTTCAACCACATGAATACTCTACGGGTAATACTTTCAATAAAATACTGCTTAGGATAGATTAAGTTTTATGTATGTTGAAAATATAGGTTCAGCATTATTTATATACATATAGGTAATTATAAAATTAAAATCACTCAGAAAATTCTATTTTTTAAATTTAAAGTTACAGCTTTTTATTTCTGTGGCTATGATTGTTGAATAATTTAATTAGTTTTCCTTTGAGAAATGTATAGATTATTGTAATTATTATGAATATACAGAATCCATTAGATGTAACTGATAACGCTTATTACGCTTTGATTTAATTATCACTTCATCGGATTTATTTTTTACAATTTTTTTCCTTAGATAATAGTATATTTTTTATCAATCATCTTTAATAAGAAAATAATGGATATATAAATTCTATTTTTAGCTTCGATGCGAAGCGGAGAAGGTATTAATTTTACTA